TATAGCTCCAGACTGTAAACAATATTTGGATTATGCACTGGACTCCACATAATCCCCTTCTAAATCAAGCAACATCAGACAACTTTCTGACAATGAAACATAGGAAATGTTATCAAATTGGAATTTTCCTTCCACCCAGGATTTGGTCATCCTGTAGAACAACGACACAAGCCAGAGGTCACAACTATCAGTTACACTGAGACTACTTTTTTAAAATCTAATATTCTGTGCAAGGACCCAACGAAAAAGAGCAGAACACGTTCTGATTGTCGTACAGAAAGACTGACTTTCTGTAAGTCAGATAGGAATGTACTTAACCAAAAAATTAAGACAAAGGATCAAAAGGATGCTCGGTTGGAAGGATTATTTCGCATGGCAGAAGAAAACACTGGCTGTTTGGTTTATATCTGGAGTGAGAATAATGGAAAGATAAGATGACCTATGACAGTACTAGCGCCAATTCTATCTTTGTTCCTTCTCCATGTTTACCTTCCGTAAGCCATGGGAAGATACGCTGTCCCGTTTACTTGAATATATTTGGATTAGCTGCGCATTGCATGGCATCAAAAAAATGAAGGGTGTGTTATAAAAAAATCTAAAAGACGTGATAACACTTCCTCACACGGAGGAAATGTTAAATCAAAACTCTGGGTCTACTGAAATGTAACCAGGGAAGAAGACACTGACTCGTTTATGGGGAGCAGCCAATGAAACAATGTACACTGTATATCAATAGACTACAAACTTGTATACGAGCAGTAAGAAATGCATTAGCTTTCTGTCCAAATGTTTCAATTTTACTCAATAACCACCATACCACTTGGATTTGTGGCAATTGGTACAAAGAGAGAGCCCAAATGTATTCAGTTTGCACCTGTCAATTCTTTCACTAGGTTTATCGAAATATAACTGTTCATCCTTTCAAAAAAGTATTATGTGATTGATTGCCGTGCAACAATATATTGGTAAAATAATACGCCTGAATATTTACTTCTCTTATTCCTCCAAAATCCGAAATATTTGAATCATATTTTAGTGTTGAAATAACAGACGAACTGACCTTTGTAAGCGTGAACCTAGAGACTTTATTTTTTAAAATTATACACCTGCAGTCGTGGCAATTTCAGCTGACATTACAGATACTTCACAGATTTTCGATTCACATTGGTATCAATTTCGCCCTGTCTATATTAGTGGCTATATTTTTAGTCTTTGTTAACGACATTCCTAAATCATTTACTGGTGATTCGTGCTCTTTTGTAACGAATGTTTGCAAGAACACAAAACGAATACATGTATATATGGATAATGGCGAATTATAAAATGCAGTTAGCGCTGAAGTATTGGTGATCACGAAGGTTTAATTCACTTTTGCTGCTTTTAAGTGGCAACTTCATAAATAATATTTATGAATTTAGGGATTTGACATCTACTTGGGAAATTTAAAAACAGAAATTGGAATCAGGCATCAGATCTCTCAAGTAGTCTCTCCACTTCACGCTTCAGTGACCCTTCACATGTAAACCAGAACGTGTTTTATTTTGTGTGAAGAACAGACTGGGAGTGCGATCGCGTATATTATTCCGAATACACTTGTAAATAGATAACAGAAATTAATGTATATATAGAATAATAGTCCTATACTATAAGGCGTAAAATGAAGAATCCACACGTGTGAACTGCATATCACATTTAGAAGGAAGCAGTGTCGATAATTGTAATATTTGGTCTCATTAACTGCACTGCACCGAAATTATTTATTTATTACATACTATTTTGAAACTTTATCACCAATATCTCGTTAATTTACTTTCTCAATATCTGGGTGATGACGACATATTATTTTACTGTTTCTACGTTGCACCTGTAATTGTGGAAATGTATAAAATCGAATCTTCAATTGTTTAGTGATGTGGTTATTGTAACCGTTAGGAAGGGCATGCCGCTATCATTTCTATAATATATTTTTAAAAGTATCAGCCACGCATTTAAAAAAAGAATTTGAAGCTTGAAGAATTAGCCAGCTTATTGTTTAAAATAATCGAGATGCTGACTCCGAACTCCTCAGCTCCAGTCGTAAAGCTGGGATTTCGTACTTTAGCTAGTAAGTTAAACATGAATTTCATCCTAAATGTTAAGATGATGTCCGGAATGGTCATTCCAGTTAGGGTGAAATCTCGAATGAAATTAATATAGAGGTTGCATTCTGCTCAGTTCGAATGCTTAATACTGTTCACATTATTTGGTAATGCACAAAAATGCGGAAACTGAGCAATATATGTCTCCATTGATCAGATCCATATTAGAATTTCAGCAAGTGGCATTGTCTTATTTTGTTTTAATGTTTCTACACCATCAGTCTGAGAGCTCTAGCGCTAGTTCTTTATTGTTTAATTGTATTTCTGATTAAAGAAAGTGATGTTTCGTACCAGAACGTGAATCATAGAAAAATGGATATTGAGTCAAACAAATCATGCAAAAGGTCGTGTAACCCGCACTCGTTTATTTTCTATTCAGGGCTAAACACATCAACACACAGATCAACATTCACTGAAAACTATCAATGGATTGTCTATGTCTTCAGTTTTTTGGAACTCCATACATAGGAGACAAACCTAGAGTTTGCTTTATCCAAATGTTGAAAAAAAGGTCACTTCTTGTCTGGATAGTATTGGTAGAAGTATGTACTCAATACTTGGTGGATCCGACGTTTCTATATAGATTGCGGTGTCTGATAAAGAGCGGGGCAGTTTTTTTTTCCATTCGAAAGTTTATATCACTGTGATGGCAACCATATTCCATTCACTCTATGGTCTGACTACAAATTATTTATAAGGATAAAGCACACCGCCTCCGATTCGTTCGCAATCAATCAGGGTTGATTCTATTTTCGATGTCTTTTTTAATTAATCAAATTATGCATTCTTTTGAATGTGCTGTCCAACATATCCAACCTCTTTTCATCAATTGTTCGATTGAACGTAAGAAACTAGAACTAAAAAAAAAGTTTGAAATTCATTACTGGAACATTTCGATAGCGTGACTTTGCTAATGAATCAGTGAAACTTTGAGCAAACTCATTTCATCTTGCCCATGCACATTCATGAACTTTTGAGATATGTACTGTACTTCACTGGTTTCAAAAATAAGGACAGATTTTTAAAAAAAAAATATATCACTATGAACACGGGGAGAGTGAATGTGCGCAGTTTGACTTGCTTCAGTAAGAACCTGCAGCTGACCGGCGTGTAATGATTGACCGCTGAAAAGACTGTTGGTTTACAGAACCTCTCCGGTATAGTCATTTATTTTTCAATGTTGGCTGCATTACAGAAGTTTGAGAACTTATGTGAGGAAAATGAATTGTACGCCGCTGGATTTAAAACTAATTTGTCATATAGTTAAGTAGCCAGAAAAGGTTAGATCTACTACTGGTATTGCTAAATTGTAATGCCAGCGTTGTCAAATGGCGAGCTGTTGGAACTTTTGAGAGCCTCCTGGTGAATAAGCAAAGCACAAAGAAATAGAAAGAAGTCACCTTTATTGACAATGATATCATCATAATAGAACCAGAGTATCATTTATTTGAAAGCACATGAACACCTTTAATCTATTTGTTAAGAATTTGTTACCAGCATGGTTTAATAGGATGTCTGATGGAGTATATTTTGCATATACACAAACATCACTCTGACTTTGACATATTAGGTGGATTAAACTATGTTAAGACCCGACTCTAAGTAATTAGGGAATGTGAATGTTTTGATGTTGTTTTCCTTTCTTCCCTGTTAAAACGTGAGAGAGGTCTCGGATAGGGAGACAGTACGGCGTCCAGCAGTTCATTCCTGTGTGCCATTCTTTAACACTGCTATCAGAAGAGAACACACACAGCTTGTTCTGTTTAGCCCAGTCACCTCATCACTCTTTCTGTTGACCGCGGCAGCACAACAATCTGTACAGCTCAGTGAGCCAGCAGCCGTTCTCGACTGCAGCAAAGAGCCAGACACTGAACGTAGAATGAAATTCTCAGTCTTTCGACTCGGCGCAAAAAAAAATATATATAACTAGCCACCTTTCACAGCTGGGCGACTCGTTTTAAGCCTAATCAACACTCAGAATTAGACTGAGAAGGGCTATATGCACCGTCGGCAAAAAAAAGTTTCATTCTTATTTTTCACAGTAATCCCATCAACTGTTTTTTGTATGATATCAGTTACAGTGTTATCACAGCAAATCCAGCAGATTTCTTCAGTTTTTCTATTAGCAATGCAATTCCGATTTGGAGGATTATACTTTGACTCAATTTACTAAACAAGATATTTGAAAAGCTTTATGAAAGTTCGCTTCTTCAGAAACATTAGAAACTACAGGATATATCATATATCTTCATTTACCAAAGTGAACTCATACATGGACGTTTGCCACGTCTGAGTGGAAATCGCTATGAACAAAAACTGCTAAATTACTTACCGTTCCCCTGAATGAATACACAAATACAGTCTAGAGAACGGTCAAGTGCACCTCAAAGCTGTTTAACAACTGTCTGGCCGCGTTGCAGGCTCTACACCACATTGCGAGTCTTATTTATACACATGTAGACATATGTATGCTGAGCCTTAGATGTACTAAACTCATGTAACTATTTCTATCAGAGATATAAAGTATATTTATTTTAAAATTCCTGACAACGAAATCCTAGACGAGTTTTCTAATCACTTTTATCTTTGAGCTGTTTTTGGACGTCGTAAAAGGTCATTTAAATGCTACTTGTAAAAACTTTTAAAAGATGGCCATTGTGGCTGACTTCTCTATTTATAAATCACACATAGACACAATCTGATTCATTTTTTAACCAACGAGATGCAAGATCATCCCACAGTTTCGATCAAAGCGGTTTAACCACTGACGTGCCTATTGAACGAATTTGTTTGTTTTAATTTGCACTTTGTTCGATTTACAGTTTTTTTTGCAATGAACTCAGGCTGTAAATTATCACTTACTTTTAAGGTTCAAAGAAGGATCCCTGGTAAGGCAGTGAAGATGTCAGGCCGCTGACACCCAGATGGTTCGAGTGCAAGACAGGACAAAGCATTAATAAAAGAAAAAAGAAACTAGTTATACAGCGATACAGAAAGATTTGTAACTCTCTCGCAGGACTGGACGTGAGGATTTTTCAAAACTGATAACGAAATCAAAACCATGTCTTGGAAACGACTATTGCCCAATTGCAGTCTCAATACAAACCACTTCTGTGTCGGAATTAAATGCCCACATTACCAGTGATATGATGGCGCGAGAATATCGATATTTCTGTAAGTGTAGCGACAGTTTCGATCGGGCTTTGTTCGGGTAATGGAGATAGCTGCATTGTTGCCTTTTTTTGTGAAGTTGGGATTCCTTCGAGTAGGGAGGCAAAGACACTTTAAACTCTTGAAGACAAGCTATTTTACGGTTTGGGGATTCTATCTCCTGTGTTGTTCAGCATCATACAATCCTGCCAGTTTATAGCAGGCAGGCAGAAAGCACTGTTATGGTTAAATTTGTCAGTGACTCCAACAGATGAGACTTCCCAAATTGGATTTTTTTTAAGGTTTTCTTTTTTAAACACTAGGGTCTGCACAAATAAAGTTAAATAAATGGCTCGTTCATTTAAATCGAAACCTTGCACTACTTCCGAGTTTCTCCAAACCACTGCCTTCGCTGAAGTTATGATTTTTTTTTAAAAAAGAAAGCTTTTATTTAACTCGGAATTTTCTTGTAGCGAGTCCAGCTCGTGTCCTCTGTGAAACCCCGGCCAGTTTTTTGTCGGCTTGGGCCAAGATTGATGAAAGGAAGCTGAATGTTGTATTGCGCACCTGACCTCAGGGCAAACAAGTTATTTTAACCGTGCAACATCTCTCTCGCTCTCTCTCTCTCTCTCTCTACCAACCACCACCGCCCCTCCCGCCCCCAGCGGTGGGGCCGCTTCATCGTTTACAAGATAGTACAGGCACAGCAAACTAGCGGCAAGGGTCGCGTCCACATAACGTTGCATAATATCCCTTAACAAGCATTCGTCTCAAATTAATTGGACCTTAAAGAAAGTCAAATCGACAGCAGTGGACGAAGTACGTTGAGTATTACCCAATCCTGGCATCATTGATTCTGCTGAAACAAAACTCTTTCTTACTTTTTTTGTGTGTGTTGCTGAACACGGTTAATTATAATATTAGCTCGAGTTTTGGGTCGTTATCACATTCTTCGACTAGAAGGCAAACTGGTGTTAGTTGGAGTGTTTAAAAGTGGATTCAAAGATTCTCCAACTCCCCCTTCTCCACTCGATCATTTTCACATTCTCTCTCTCTCGCTCTGTCTCTCTGTTTTGTTTTTATCTCTTTGTAGTTGCCACCCTATCTCTGATTCCTTCGGTCTTCCTAACTATGGGCACTGGAGATATGAACGAGTCCCGTAGATCACTGCGGAGACTTTCTGTGGGTCAGTTCTGCATGGGGTCATGGTGTATGTTAAGAGCTGACACTGCTGTGGAGGCGCTGCAGAGTCTGTGTTTAGTCAGCACTGTGTGAATCCAATCAGGATCTCCAGTTTTGCAGTGAATTGTGTTCAAGGCGCTGCCTCCACTCAAATAGTCCAGCAGAGTGCAGAACCACGCACTCTACCACCCAGCACCTAGACACACTGGTCTTAAGGCACACTGGACTTCTCCAAACACCTAACTGATGGCAAACCACCATTAGGTCGGCACCTTTCTTTCCACACTCTTCTAGATGCAGAGCGGTCTGGTTCAAGTGTAGAATGACGGCTGTGATAGTACGCGGATCTTTTTGTGGTTATTTATCGTGCGTTTAGTTCTTATCTGTTATAGTTCTTATCTCGGAGTTATCTTACACTAGTCTGGCGTAACTAAGACATATTACTTACTGTTCGTTTTGGGCCTATCTCTATCGATGTGTGGTTTCTGTAATTTCTGATGAACTTATCTCTCGAAACCTCAGCCCTTTTTCGCTACTCTGGAGAGAGCTAATTACTTTCGAGTTTGCAAGTTGCCGATTTGTCTTGATCAGTTCGGTCGAGGTCCCTGGTTATCAACAGGGAATTATAAGGAGTGGCCCAATTGGTTTTAATGCAATATCGACGTTAATGTCATTTTATACATTTATATACAAAGAGAAAGCTGTGTCGGCGGCAACGGCGGAACACGCCATTGAACAGGTCCCGGCATGTTTCGACACACGCTTGCCTTGTGGATCCGTTTAGGAAGGAATGCGAATGGTCTTTTTAACCTAAAATTTAAAGACAGGATTTGGGATGATTTAGATCGATGCCGTGTAAAATTCAGGGCATGTAAACCAGGTGGGTGAAAGGTACAACGATGAATAGCGAACTCTGTTGAATTAGGTTGCTGCATTGTAGGTTTGTTCTTTCTGAGTTTCCACTGTTTAATCTCGAAGCCTTTTAACCTCCTTTTTAAAAAGTTGTGGGGTGGGGGCTGTGATTTTTCCGCCTGTAACGCATCTACGGGCTTCGTTTCTTTTCGATCACGCTGCAGTTTTTGTCTGCTAGCCAACAGAGTGATTATATTAGATATCTGATGCAAAATGAATAAATGCAGTGAACCATACCTTATCAGAGTCGATACAGTCAGAACCAAACAGAATGTGTACTGTCTGCTTTACTTGATGTATGTTGAAAAGCGCTACATTGGTTTATAGGTGACTTCATAATCAGCAATTACATGCCACCAGCTTCTAAGTTTCTTAAGGACACTTCACACAAGTCCAAATTCAACCATGTGTGATGACAAAAATAATAGCGCTACTTCTGATATTACACGGGTTATTTGCGCTTTCCCATTCTTGTTTTTATTCCTCATTTTCGTTTTTACTTGAAGACCAGTGTTCTCTTCAAAATGGGACGCCTTTAAATCCTATTTGTACCTCGGTCCATGGCGTTAATCACTTTAAACTTTTGAGAGAAAATTAACGCCATTGATAAATGGTTTAAAGTACCTCTGGAATATTTAGATCTCATCATAGATGCACAAAGCAGTCTCTGAGAGGAGATAGGCCGTAGCAAGTCCCGAGGATCCGTTATGGAAATCAGCAGGTCAATTATCCTGAACCATTTTATCAAATCAAATTGTGTTGAAAAAGAACAGACATGCCAAATTGCTGGAACGTTTGTTTTTAGGAGATGCTTAAATGTCTGATCCTATTGTTCATTTTGTCTGGTAAGCGACAGCATGATAATAGAAGACTCGAGTTAATTGAATTAACAACTAACTGGAGAATAGTTGTCTTGCTGTGAGTGTGTTTTTCTGCCCCCTATTGTTATTGACTCTTACTGTGTTATTTCTTTCGGGCTGCTCCCCAGGACCCCATTTTTGACGTTTGGATTGCTCAGAACCTGGATGGACCTGAATGAGCCGGACTGGTCAAACGTGGCAAAACATCTAACGTCGAACGGGCTAAACTCGCCGGCGGCGGAGCAGCCTTACCTAAAATTTGCCGGTCGTCCTCAGCGTGAGGGAGAGGGACGCTCGGGATCAGAAGACAGCTTGAGACTAGAGGCATCCTCGGCCAGCAGTCTGAACACTGACAGGCGTCAGCTTTTACAGGAGAGATCAGTGGACACCTACGTTCACTTTGGTCAGAACTCGGAAGAGCTTGCACCTTTTATAACGGATCTGGATCAAACAGGCAAACTGTTCCTGCCCAGAGGAATAAAGAGGGAATTTGTGACACCTCCGTCTATTGAAATGTACCAGAGTTTGCCTGTGGCAGCTGCCCAGGGTCCGAGTGCGTACCCTCACGATGTTCCAAACAATTTCATGCACTCCAGTACGAGTTCTCCGGTCTATGTTCCCACCACCAGGGTTAGCTCCATGATCCAAAGCATCCCCTATCTCCAGGGCAGCGGCTCGAGCCAACAGAGTCACCCTGTTACTAACCACTCGGCCTGGACTCAGCCTGCCACAGATAGCTCGACCTACAGCTCCAGCAGCCCTCACCATATGGTTTCCAGCCGATTCTCCTTCTCCCCGAGCCCTCCCATTTCCAACGGAGCTGCTCGAGATTCCGGCTATAGTAACAGTCTGAATATGAATGGCAGAGATCAGTACACTAGCCCCTTGGCCAGGCCTCTTAATGGATCTTACCCCAGCCCTTACACTTCTTACGTTGGGCCACAGTTGACTTCGGCTTGGTCAGCAGCGGGATCTTTTGAAAACTCAATGCTGCACAGCCTACAGAGCAGACCGACAGCTCTACCCGTCCGAGGACCCAATGGGGGTAAGTCACCTGTGTCGGGATCATTCACTCGCTCTGACCCTGTCTATGGCCTGAAATTATGTTCTTGGCTCTTGTCTTCCAAAATCTGACAAACGTTATAATTTGGTGTTGTGTTGGGCTTACGGGCAAAATCGACGAGTCGCCACTGCGAATATTGTTTCTCAACGCATTTTCGGGTTTGTCCGGAATTTCTGAACCTTATGTACAAAAGTATTGTTTTAACATGGCACTTTCTGATACTAAGAGTAGAAGGTAGGCGTTCTTCAATATGTTACTGGAAATTAGCCAATGTTCTTGGGCAACGTATATCATTTAACCATCAGTAAACAGTGTTATGAAAGTAGAAGCCAAAGTCGAGAGGAATCAATTTGGAATGGATATAATCGGGACAAAATGGGTGCTTTTAGGACTTAGGATCAGTTCGCCTATTCACTTTTCGCTCAGTGACAACTACCTTAGCAGCATATAATAGGATAAACCACTGTCTGTACTGAACAGTTACAAAATGATTACATGTGACAAACTTTGGTGACATTCAGGGATATTCGAGGACAATGTAGCAAATAAGAATTTTAACAGTGAAGTCTTAAGGCACTGAACAGAAAAATAAAAGCATCATATCCGCAAACACCCCGCAATATTGAAATATATTATTGGTAATCTACAGAAACTACAGCAAGATACAAGTTTCTTAAACTGAAATGGTGAAACAACATGCTAAGCTATGATACACTGACAATTCCTGCTGCTCTGATACACCACATCTGGCCCTATTGTGTGTATTCAACTTTTTAATAGATTTACAATATCGCACATTCGAGTATACTTGCAAATTTATTTGCTGTTTAAACCAAGTTTTGGTGGATAATATGCATAAGTAGTGAAGCCATGTCACTCTATGTAAAAACATATAATGGTTTGCGAGCTCTCAGAATACAGATTTCCTATGCAAAAGGAAATAAAAATAAACACGAGAACTGTCGTTCCTTTCCATTGAGTCTTCAGACCATTGCCATATTCTGGAATAAAGGCTAAACTGCTGCGCCCATTTACATTATGAAAATGTGCAAGTTGTGATGGCCCCAAATTCAACCGACGCCAATCTGGGGTGGAGCAGATTGTATCTGAAACGGTTGCTGACGCAAATATATTTGGGAATCGCCATAGTCTTACCAGACCATAGAGCTGCTGTCTCATTACAGAGACGACGAGTGGCGATTTAACCCGAGGGCCACCCATCCCTCAGGCGAAGGGGAGAGGTCGAGGAGAGCCCTTCATGGGTGACCTCAGCCGGTGATGGCAATCGAACCTATGCTGTTAGCATTAACATTACTTCACAGCCTAACCATCCTGCCAATTCAGCTAAACCGATCCCCAAATATATAGGCAGTCCACCAAACAGTAACAAAATAATTTTAAAAATCTTGCAGTTCTGTCACCATTTCAAAACTTTAAAGGCTTTATGTATATTTGTACGATCATGTGGGATTTAATAATGAAAACAAGTTGGACCTGCTCCCCGGGTTTAATTTGCCAAATAATTGTAAGATGGAGCTAGCATCGTGCATTCTTGTTAAAAGGCTGTGTAATTTCTCAATCATATTCTGGTAG